GGTTTTATCATCATTAAATTTGCATGAAATGGGAAGGTGTGGAGCCTTCATCCTAGAACAACAAGTATAATCATATCTCAAGCATAGTTGCCTAGCATACCAATACAACATATAAATAAGATCCCATAATAGTTTCCCTTTTTGTGTCAAGCGATAATCCCTAAAGTATTCACATTGATCCAACGTGTCTCCCATAACATAATTGAACTAGTTGACCGGTTGCGCCAAATGGCGCAGAGACCCGCTAAAGACATGTTGTCGATGAAAATAGTTTCATTTTGCAAGGACATATTAAATATTGGTAGTAGAAAGCCCATATGTTGAATCATGCTATATTGAAAATGTGTTTATCACATTGAGAAACCTGAGTTTGAAAAAAAAACATATTTTGTATAACATGTATAGACCAGTTAAGGGAGCATATATTTTTAGTTAAAAATATGGCTATCATGCTGAGAAATTTAAGTTTGAAAAAAAAACATATTTGTATAAGAACATTACATGGCAGAATAACCCAGTGGCAACATGTAGTGCTAAATACAACTCTGTAGGTTTGGGCATCCTTCTCATTTTTCCAAGTTTTAGAATTGCAATATACTGGTATGCTTTCCTGATTCTTGATTACATACATTGCAGACAGGAACCAACAAATAAACACCTTAGCTGATTAACAAATAGGGAAACTGTAAACTACATTCTTTGGTATATACTTCCCATCCCTCAGCCGTAAAACTTTTTTGCCTTTTTTCCGAAGTGTGGTATTTCAGCAGTCAGACCGATGTAGTACTCACTAAAAGTTTTGTTACAGGAGTTTTGCCTGTTATCTGTACATCTTCTTGCAGGAATTCTGCAAGGCAGCATGACTGTAAATGTCGACCCTTCATTCTCTTCTCTAAGCAGTGAGAGTACCACCCATCATGAAAAATCAAATAAGTGTCACATTGTTTACACTTAACTACCACAATCAATATCCATTGCATCAAAACTTGAAAGTAAAAAAAGGATAAAACAAAGAACAAAGTCATGAACAAAGCATTGAGGAATCTGTAGATCAATTTCATGCAAGAAGAAAGAACTCACCCACCTACGGTTGCTTGCTATAATCCCTGCAAATTAGAAGAACACCAATGACATACAGAGGTGCATAAATAGCCAGATCAGAAGGAGATTATTGAGAGAGAGCAGTCAAGAGTGAAGGGAGACTTGCCTCCAGGAGGCTCCCTCGATGCAAACATGAAATGACAAATCAATTGAAGAAACAAGGACATTTCAAGTCTGCTGTAATGGAAGGAAAACTTGAAATGGAAGGGCAAACCAAGATTGATAAGTACCACACCAGGAATGTAAGTTTATAATAGATATAGAAGTGACAATACACAACAAGTTTTTCAAAATTTACAATGAACAACATGATTTGGCCTCTTGCTCTAAAATAGAAACAATCTGCAACACTAACTTGGTGACAATCCCACCAATTCAACAACGATGGAAATCTCTACCCTTCACTCCTTTGTGGCTTCTAGAATCAAAGGAGAACTACCATCATTGGAGGAAAGGGAAAAAATTAACAACAGTTCTTGCAGTTAAAGCATCTGTCGAGTGAAGGTATGCCACTATGAATCCTTCTTTTAGTAACCATCTGTACACAACAGTAGTAATGCCAAGGCAAAAAACTTGATCTCTGTTCATGGTCATCTCATTATTGAAAAAGTAAATGTAAAACTGGCCTGCAAGATAAAAGCATTTCCCAGTAATTGAATGTACAACATGTGATCGTCTGTGCTCTTAACATTCACTTACTGGGAATACCATTGGATGAAATATAGTGCACACTCCAGATCTTATAACTTTTAATACATTTTCAACTAAGATTTTAAGCCATGAGATTATATGCCAATAGTTACATTTAAGCTTGGTAAAGCATAAAGCAATCATAAAAAGGCAGTAAGAATAAGCTTCAGGACACAGTGAGGGCTGAAACTACTTATTTGAAAACAGTGAAACAACTCATCAAATTTAACTAATTTTAAGAGCTCCAGTTTTAAGAATTAATATTGTGCAACTAAGAGCAGGATACAAAATAGTCAATCAAGAAGATTCAACTATATACACTTGATAATTAGAGACAATGTTTTTAACCAAAATATTTTGACCAACACTTGAACCACCCCGTTGACGTGAAATATATAATATGGTTAGTCAAGCATATTAAAATTAATATATTAGAACTAATAAAAGTGCATTGAAAAGGCAACCATAAAGCAAGAACAACCGATGTCAAGAGCACTGACGATCATAGTAATGAGAAAAAGTAACACATGGCAAGAACAATGGACCGACCAGACCTTCTGAAATCCCTGGAACTACACGATATCAGATCCCTAACAACACACATAATACCTACAAAGTAGCTGGTGCGAGAATAAGTCCAAAAATAGTTATTTGTTTTCTAAACCCAAAGACAGTTGGGGAGACCTAGAGACAGATAGTTTACGGGTCGGTGAAAGAGGCTGGTGACAAAACTGAGACACCATAATACATATGGATATGACAGACATGAGAACCTACATTAGCTTGGAAAAGGGGACTACATATCGTTGGACCCAGCTCTGAATAGAGAACCTACATTTCATATCCAATAACTGAAATTTGTGCGATACATCCATAAAGGAATATTAGCAGGACGGGCAAAAATTGGTGGCTCGACATATTGTTTAAGCAAATAAATAGTCACTACTTTCTTGTGCGCAATGGAGCACGTACAGATTCAACAACTAAGCTTTAGTAACGACCGCATGGTTGATGTGGGAGAAACAACATAGCTATTGTAACACTGAGCCATGAGCCTTGCATGATGTGCAGGTAGGCTAACTTGATGGTGGAAAATTAGTGGCGATATGTCCACATTGGTATTGAAGAGCATGACAGATATAATCACTTTCAAAAGGAGACCACATGTGTTTGGATTCAGGTTTGAATAGGGGAGTTTATTTGACACACCTCTCCTCAATCAAATGGTTCAGGTCTAAAAAAATATAATGGTGCACACAAGAGCAGAGTAGTCATGGTTGAGCCTATTTTGACTTTCTTTTTCTTGTTCCACTTTGGAAAGGACAAAAGTGAACAAAAGCAGGCCTAAAACATATACTCCCTCCATCCCAAAATAAGTGTTTCAACCTTAGTACAACTTTAAACTGAAGCTAGTACAAAGTTGAGACACTTATTTTGGGACGGAGGGAGTACCATTTAATGCCTTCACAACAGTTTTTGCATGGCCAGTTAACTCTGAAAGAAGTCTGTGATATTACACTTAATATGTAAAAGAGGCTCAAACACTAAATTAAATTCAAAATAAAAGTAATGCTCATGCAGCATATTTTGTATTTACAACATCATACAGTACCATCAAACGCTATATATTAGCTAGCTATAAGTAGGAATCTATCATTGGATTGTGCCTCTAAATAATACTATGGAGGCATGAAACTAAGTATTTTCACTCAAGAAAACAAAGATGCCTGCTTCCGCACCATGAATCACAGAATTTTCATATAATTGTACTCACAAAGCTATTTAAACATAAAAGGAAACAGTAACCTTATATATTTGTACAACCTATCAAGAACAGAGTTGTGAATTAATATCTTTGTATTGATGCCCTCATCACCAAGCCCACTATCACTGATGCCTTCTCTTCCGGCACCATAAGTAGTGTGGTCATTGTAGAAATATGACCAGTTATATTCTACTTGTGTCTATCTCTATCTTGTGATTCCACTGCTCACTGTCGTGGTTGCACTGCTCATGTCGGATTAAAGTTATGGTGCCCTGTGACACACGAGCAAAGTTTGAATAATCCAATGGTTATATTCTACTTAAACTGGGACCATTATGCATGATATTTTGTATGAATCGCTATGAGAGAGAGCTGAACAATTATATAGCAAATTGGGTGTCATATTCAATTGTATCCATGGAAAATATATTACAATCTCTAAACTACAGCAGTGTACAAAGAAGCGACAACCAACGAAGGAAGCAAAAGCGGACGCTGACAGAGATGACAAACCCAAGTCTTGGAAGGATGACAGTCAGATAGATATCTCATCTCTACTTCTGCTCATCTCCCTTTATTAAGACGCGACAACATATGTATATATATGATGTGCACCCAACTCTGTCTTGAGCATTGCCCGCTGCTAAACCTGCACATGAAAAAACTGACAAATGTTCTTATTCTTGTTCTGCCTTATGCAACAGGTCCGACAAACCTACAGCTCAGTATGTAAGTTAAGAAAAAAATATGGGAATGATGGGTAAAAGGGTTGCTGCTAACCTGGAAGGGACACCGTGGCACCACCAACAAGAGAGGCTATTTGTACAGCAACACAACTCGGTGTAGGAATCAACAACAGTCACCCAAACACTAATCATATGGAACCTTAGAATGCCTTACCACGGCGCCATTCTAGCCAATAGTAGCACCTATTATGATGCCTTACCACCATGCCGTTCAGGTCAACGCATCACCTAAAATAAGAATGAATGAATGATAACGCATGAGATATTACGACATTGTAAATAAAGATTCAGCTGCATGATAACGCATGAGATATCACGGCCACGGCGGAACACGAAGATTCAGCTGGATACAAAAATCTAAAAAATGTATCAAAAAGGATTACAATAGAACTCGTGGTTGATCAAACAAAACTGGTACATATAGCTCCTAACTCAACTAATCCGAAGTTCAAAATAATTCATCTTTGCTTCTCAAACAGAGATAAAGATTGTAATTACTACTGCCTAAAGCATGTGATCAGTAAGCAATCTCGACTTCAACTTGAAGTTAGTCACTCGAAGATATAAACAACAGATGTCATAAACCACACAACAATGTGTCAATGATTTTGCGGTTATTTTTGGAACAAAAGGACAGTGCATCTTAGGCATTCCATTTCCCCAAAAACCAACACCAGTGTCCTAAAATTATTAGGTAGTTAGAATGGAACATCAGGAACCATGTTATGCTCTACCATGCAAGGAGGCTGAAATGTGAATAGGAGTAAGCAAGTGACGGATTCAGTAAAATTTTGACCATTAGTAACTTCTACAGAATGCGTCATATTTTGTATGTAATGTCGAAGTATCCACATCAAGATCACATGACAAGAAGTGGGAATTGAAGTGGCCAACTGACCAAGCCTAGGTGAAAGGAAATCTTGAATCTGTACATTCATGCCTGAGACAAAGAACTGATCATTAGCACTGTAATTCACACAAAGGTAGCTATTTTTGTTTTCCTTATATAAATACAAGAAATACCACTAATATAATTTATCAAACTGCGAATATCTACAAATTGAATTCCATTGCCCTTCAGTGTTTAGCAGTTGCCTTTTAACAGGATTGTAGATAGCCTCAGCAAATGGCATATCACTTCACTTACTTTCCAAGTGTCAATGCAGAACTTTGTGTGACGCAACCCCTAACTTTTCCGACATGCAACGCTCCCCAGGAACATGGGAGGTCAATGGGTTCGTGTGTGTTGAAATAGACCTGGTCCCAGAGTACACAATATGGGATATTCTACCACAAAATATAAACCAATACAAAATCCAACTCAAGTGAATGCTACACTGAAGAAAATTTGATACAGAGCCTGACTCAGATGAACTCAAAACTGAAAATGATTTGCCAGATTCCACACATTGTCAAAAGTCTTCGACTACAGAAAATACGTCTATGCTGAGTAAAAAGCATTGAAAGTTCAACCTTCTGTGTGACTCGACCCATTAAAAGAATGCAAATATTTCTAGTGGCATGGAAATTTTGGTGTGTGTATACCTAATAGAAGGTCAGTGCTGCGGTGACCTGAGTAATAACGAACTAAAGAATGAGTCAATTTTTATAACCGAAATACAGATGTGCAAACAGGCAAACGGGTTGATTGTAGCACTCAAAATTTAAGTTCCATTGAATCATGCGAGAGTGGCGTGGGGAACGACAGTCAGTTTATCGAGATCGAACGTGGAGGAGACTTCCAGCAATCATGGCTGCGCCATCGCTGCTGCGCCTAGGGCATTCCGGGAGGGGGAAGATTGCCTTCGACGCTATGGTTAACACGCATCCATGCCGGCGCTACCAAGCTGCACCCTGCGATCTCGCGTGCAACACGTAATGAGATCGTGTGGTTAGTATCTCCGTTCGCTGTTGTATACTATATGGTGTTGATTTGCACATTATAAAATTCCTTGATTTAGATGAAACAAGCAAATCTGCATGCTATTTGTTTTTCTTTGAATTACTACATCCATACTTGAAGAAAAGTCAGTTATAGAACCTGAGCACTCACCCAATCTCAGATGTTGCTCAACACCCTCTGCTCCAACCCATAGAACATTCTGTCCTGCAGCAAATGAACTGAAGAACCAATCCCTGTTGCCAGCCTGCTCCCCATCCTACGCAGCTCCACCACGTAGTGACGGGAGCGCTGCCTCGTGCTCCAACCCATACAATGGCCGGTGACGCTAATTGTGCTAAGGGCGAGAGGCGATAAATGAAGATTTGGAGAGGAAGAAACTGAGAGAATAGAGATGGGGAAAGGGATCTCACCGTCTCAAGCTCGAGCTCACCGGCTGGCGGTCCTCCGCCTCGACCACCTCCATCCGGTCTCTCTATTTTTTAACCTTCCCCGTCTAGGCCTCGGGATCGAGCTTCGACCTACCACCGCCAGATCCGACCCCATCACCTTCTGGTTCCTTGCCTCCCCATGAAGTGTGTGCCGCCTGGAGCCTACCCCGTCGCTGCTCCTTCCCCATGGAAACCCGTGGCGGACGAGCCCCAGCGGCGCGGCGGCGGCTGGTCTGGGGCGAGCGCGCGAGGAGAAACATGGGTGGGGCAGTGGCGGCTGGAGGGATTGGGGTGGGGTGTAGGGTTTGGGGCAGAGGAAGCCGCGCGACGCGCGAGGATACGCTTGTTCGCACCCGCCAGGAGTTCACCCAGCCAATAGAAAGTTTGGACGAGCCCACCAGCCATGGACGTGGAAAAACAACCGTGCGGTCAGAAGTAATAACACAGATCCACTGTCCAGATCCAATGTCCAAAACGAGTTTTCACTAAGATCCAATGGGCAACGAAGCTGCAAATCGGGGGAGCGTTCTGGGAGCGAGTTGGCTAGCCTCTTTATTGATTTAAATGGGGTTCTCTCAGAATTATGAAAGTAGTACATAACTTCCTTTTACATAATGAGCATTGAGGGTTTTAGAAGGTTCCCATCTCCATGAGTAGCAAGTACACCTAATTTTTTTGGTATTTCGTGTTCCATATCCATAACTAAAGATAGAGAATAACTAAGAACAGCAAATAAAAATTACTTAGTGATAAAGCAAACAAGCACACACGAGAATATTCACCCCACGCTATTACTCCCCGACAACGGCGCCAGAAAAAGGTCTTGATAACCCACAAGTATAGGGGATCAATTATAGCCTCTTTCGATAAGTAAGAGTGTCAAACCCAACGAGGAGCTAAAGGTAGAACAAATATTCCCTCAAGTTCTATCGACCACAGATACAACTCTACGCACGCTTGACGTTCGCTTTACCTAGAACAATTATGAAACTGGAAGTACTTTGTAGGTATTGTTGGATAGGTTTGCAAGATAATAAAGAGCATGTAAATATAAACTAGATGCTACTTAGATAAAGAAGCAATAAAGTAAATAAAGCGAGTGTGGAAAAATGGTGATAGGAGTTTTGAAATTGTCCCTAAGCAATTGACTATTTTACTAGACCGATAGCAAGTTTTATGTCGGAGAGGCATAAACTAACATACTTTCTCTTCTTGGATCATATGCACTTATGATTGGAACTCTAGCAAGCATCCGCAACTACTAAAGATCATTAAGGTAAAACCCAAGCATAGCATTAAAGTATCAAGTCCCCTTTATCCCTTACGCCACAACCCCCTTACTCGAGTTTACGCTTCTGTCACTCAAGCAACCCACTATAAGCGAATCATGAACGTATTGCAACACCCTACAACGGGAATCCCTCACGCTTGCGCGACACGGGGGGCACAATAGGACAGCAACATAACCACAAGCAAATTAAACCAATCATAGCTATTCATCAATCATCAATAGGACAACGAAAATCTACTCAGACATCATAGGATGGCAACACATCATTGGATAATAATATGAAGCATAAAGCACCATGTTCAAGTAGAGGGTACAGCGGGTTGCGGGAGAGTGGGCCGCTGAATATAGATGGGGGAAGGTGATGGAGATGTTGGTGAAGATGGCGGAGGTGTTGGTGAAGATCGCGGTGATGATGATGGCCCCCAGTGGCGCTCCGGCGCCACCGAAAGCAAGGGGGAGAGAGAGCCCCTTCTTCTTCTTCTTCCTGAACCTTCTCCCTAGATGGGAGAAGGGTTTCCCCTCTGGTCCTTGGCTCCCATGGCATGGGAGGGGCAAGAGCCCCTCCGAGATTGGATCTATCTCTCTGTCTCTCTCTATTTCTACGCTCTGGGATTCTGCCCTTTCACCGTTTTTTTTTATATCCGGAGATCCGTAACTCCGATTGGATTGAAACTTTCGCCCAGATTTTTCTCCAAAAATTAGCTTTCTTGCAGCAAAAGAAGAGTGCCAACCGCCTTACAGGGTGCCCACGAGGGTCAAGGGCGCGCCTACCCTCCTGGGGCGCACCCCCTTGCCTCGTGGCCCCCTCGGGCACCGTCTCGCGTTGGTTTTGCTTCCCAAAATTCATAAATATTCCAAAAATATTCTCCATCTGTTTTTATTCCTTTGGACTCTGTTTGATATTGGATTTCTGTGGAACATAAAACATGCAACAAACAGGAACATGCACTGGGCACTGGATCAATATGTTAGTCCCAAAAATCATATAAAAAGTTGCCAAAAGTATATGAAAGTTGTAGAATATTGGCATGGAACAATCAAAAGTTATAGATACGACGGAGACGTATCAGCTTGCTCGAAGGAGAAGGCCTGCAGCCAGGCACCCTTGCCGCCCCGCTGACTCTTGGGGCCGGGTTGACCTGTCGGCAGCTGGTCCTCAACGGTAGCCATCTACCGGCTGTTGGAAGCTGGCTGTTGGGCCTTGCGCTTGTTGTCGTTCGGCTGCTGGTGCCAGTTGGAGTCACCAGCCGACGCTTGAGAAGCCGGTGGGATCACCTTCCCGGACGCGTCAATCCAGGTCTCTGACTTCATGGAGGAGTCGACCGTGGTGTACTTGTCCGCCACAACCAGGTGCATGTCCAAGGTAGCTGGCTCGTCGCACAGAAGCTTGAGCTTGACCAGGGTGCCCTCTCTGCACTCGGCGCTGAAGTACTCGATGGCCTACACCTCATGCACCCCTTCGCAAGAGTTGTGCAACTCGGCCCAGCGCGTCAGGTAGTCGCGAGTGGACTCGGTTGGGCCCTAAACGCACATGGAGAGCTGGGGAGGCTTGGGGGGCGCTTGTAGGTGTTGTTGAAGTTGCGTACGAAGACGTCGCTGAAGTCTAGCCAACCGTTGATGTTGCTGGGCTTGAGGTTGTTCAGCCATGTCCGGGCCGTGCCCTGCAACATGAGCGGAACATACTTCACGGCAGCATGCTTGTTGCCGTTTGCTATGTTGACTGTTGTGGCGTAGTCAGTCAGCCAATCTTTCGGCTTCACGACACCGTTGTACTTGGGAGTGTCACGAGGAAGCGAGAACCCTTTGGGGAAGGGCTCATCGCGGATGCGGGGGCCAAAGCAAGCCGGGCCGACTGTATCCTCCTCCTCCATTGCAAGGGACCGAGCCAGCTGCTCGATACAACAACGTGAGTCATTCTCGCCAACTGCTTCACAGGGGCCTAGCCGGCCCCCCAAAGTCGGGTGTTTAGCTGGCGCCATGGAAGCCAGTCTCTCCCTGCTGGGCGGGGGGAGGGAGGCAGACGTTCACCCTTCTGGCGCCGACCCTCCGGGTTTGGAGGAACTTGTGTGGCACCCCGGCTCAGAGCAACCTGTTTACCTTGCATTGCCAACCAGAGATCATGTCTTCTAGCAATACACAACATCTTGGTATAGAAAATTAACCGCTTTATTGAGACTAGCAGAAGCATAGTGCGATATTACATCAAGTAGCGAGGCCAAGCGGCACACTCGGTGCGGGTGAACAATATGTACATTATTTAGTGAACATGAAGGGGCCTCGAGCATGACATCTACACGGCAGCGGAACGACGATGTA